AAAAAGGAACTAGCAACGAACTTTCAAAAATTTTACTGAAATACAATTTATTCATACGGTTAAGCCTCATCAATTAAGAGCAAAAACGCATTCAAAAATTATGTGATTATCAAAAACGGTTTTATCTGAAAAAAGTTTATTAAGGGGGCCTTATCTCATTCTCGAAAAGCGTTAGAAAGAGCTAGAAACTCAGTTTATTTTGTATAAAACGTAAGTTTCTAAAAAAAAAAAAATCTTCAAATTTCTGGAATCTTTCGGGACAGGAGATAAAAAAATATATAGAGAAACCTTCGCTTTCTACCACGCATCTTTATATACTTTTTTTATTTATTACTTTTGAAGATATGGTTATACCTTTATATTTTCTTCCACACTTCATGAAAAGGTGCATGCACACTCAAGTAACCCTACCACTCATGTGACGCCTGGCAAATTCCAGGTACTGTTAATAGATTTTTCATAAAATTTCTATTTTGGGATTGGGTCAGTTTGAAATTCGGCTCTGCCGTAATTTCTTTTTTAGCATAGCTTATAGAAAGCCCCAAATACATCTATTCCATTATACGTTTCTAATATTTTTTAAAAAATATTTGAAAGGATTAACGGAACAATCGGAACTATCGCAAAGGAGTTTTCTATCAAAATTGGAAACGGCAAGCATTTCAAACGTTAGGCAGGCAACGCATGATGGTAGCCGTTTTAAATTCAGTTATTATTGACTCAGATTTTGAAATACCAATCGAAAATGGAAATATTGTTATATCGTGATAACATTTCTAGTTTCGAAATGTCATTTTAAATTTTCTAGTAAGTATGCCAGATGCATTATAGAAAAAGCATAGGATGCTCAGAATAGCTTCAAATACTTCAGTTTCTCGAAATGAAACGTAATATAATTAGTTTTTACTTAAAGGGACTCATACACCTTAAACCCCTTATGATCTTCGAATATGTGAATGTCGCAAGAATTGGGATAACTTATTTATTTTAAAAGCAATTACTTCCAACTTTTTATGGCTGACTACATGACTACATAATATAGATGCTTTCTGAAATCGTAATAAAAAAGTTCGTGTTGTCACAAATATTTTTATAATTTAATCCGCTTTGTGACAAAAATTTTCGTCATGTTTCTACCTTGCGCGCACAGTTTAAAAGTATCCGTTGCATTATTTAATTCCATAGTTTATATATAGCTTTTATAACATTTGGAAACTATTGTAAACCAAAAGAACTGAGAATTTCATGTTAAATTTTTATTTTATTGGAGTTGAGTTTATTTAAAATATTATTTTATTAAAAAAATCTGTAATATTTTCGTGCATAAAATTTTTTAATATTAAAATATTCGTCAAATTTTTGGTTCAGTAGGAAAATAAAGCCCGTATAAAGAATTCCATCTAATTTTAAGTATGTACCATTAGCCATTTTTAAAATATCATGCGCACAATGTGGAAACATGATGAAAAATTTTGTCACAAAGCTGATTAAATTAAAAAACTATTTGTGGCAACACAAACTTTCTGGTTTCCAAAGCAGCTATATTGTGTAGTCAGCTGTAAAAAGTTGGAGGTAATTACTTTTAAAATAAATAAAATATCTCAATTCTTGCAACAGTCACATAATTCGAAGCACATAAGGGGTTTAAGATGTATGAGTTCCCTTAATACAATCCACATTCAAACTTACGAAATATCATAAAGTTGAACTGTGATTTTTCATTATAAATGCTGTTATTTTAGATTGCCTTACGTAAAAAAGTATTTCCCGAGAATGACCAGTTCCATACAGTATTTATACTGAAGAAATAGGCTACATCAGCACATTAAAATAATTACGTCCTTTTATTCGAAACAAAAGCTTTATTTTTATATTAGTCAAAATTCTTTTGGAAACTAAGATATATTTTCGTTGAATTCAGAAATTAACCTGCTTCCAAATCAAAAGTCCTTTGTAACAAAAAGTACAATGTTTCTTTTAAGATATTTTACTTGTCTAGTTTTTAACTATAATAAATAAATATAACTCTTTAGTTATTTTTTAAACTTCTTTCACTCCGTTTATGTATCTCATCTCAGGAAACCATTTTTCAAATATGAATACCTACACATCATCGTATTATTTATGACAATCATGTACTCTGAATTAGCATCTGTTTTTAAGCATTAATTGCTTGAATGGCAAATAAATGTAAAGAAATTGCTTTTAAATATTTATTGAAAACCTGATGTACATTTTTTTGATGTTACAGGAAAAGCATTAAAAAGGAAATTTCTATGGTTTAAAAATATTAATTTCACCTTTCTTGCTGTTGAAAGGAGGAACTATGTCGTAAATTCTGTCGTAAAGTTGCTTTTGTCAGTTCACTGTCAAATAACTCAGGCAGAAAAAATTACTCTTTACGTCATTTGGAGTTGCGGCTCTAGAACGCTCAATCGCTAAAAAGCAAAAAGACGGTATGCCAGTTATAAGGATTTTGAGTCTCTCTCGTAATCCACATCTTTACAATCGTACAGAAGAAAACTAAAACAGAACTACTGAAAGAAGAGAAACAGCTTGTAGAGTCATTTGATTATTTCTTATCCTGGAGACGTAAAAAGTAAGCAGTGCCCTCACGGGCACTCGAACCCTCGAACTTTCTAATAGACGTTGAGTATGCTTACATTTACACCACTTAGGCATGGGAAAAGGAGAGAGAAAATACCTTGTAATCTTTCCCATTGATTTACTTGGGAGATTTACAGCCGCACCAAAATGGGAAATATCAAGGACTCAAGAGATAAAACAGTTCAAATAAAAATTGTATGATATTAACGGTTAGAACTGGATAGCACAGTAGTAGCTATGTGTCCTCTAGAAAAGAAGGTACTCATAAAAGTTTGAGGCTGTTACTTTATTTAAACGGATTTAAAATTTGATGATCATATAATTTTTACTTATGTATCAATCTTTTTTTGAAAAGAAATCAAGTAGAGTCTGAAACTGAACATATATACATATCTAAAATATATTCAGTAATCAAATACTTTATAGAGAGAAAATTTTGATGAATTTCATTTTCATGACAAAATTTTCACTCTTTGTATGCTGCAGTAATCCAAAGAATTTCCTTATGTAATGCAATATTACGCTGCAACAATACCTAAAATGGGGAGAACAGCATTCTTTTGGAACCCGAAGATGCAAAGTATTTTGAGAAAAGACATAGAACAAAGACAGAGAATAAGGGGGAAAGAGAGGGATGGAAGGATTGTAATTCTTACTCGATCGTAGATACCATGTTCGATATATCAGCGGTAGGATTATGACTTCTACTCTGCGCCAGCCCGATTTAATCTGGAATAGAATTTCGAAGATATTCGACGCTCGAGCTGTATCAACCATCTCTCGGTTGTCATGGCAACGGAGAATGGGTAACTGGATGCTATGTTATTTTGTGGCGGTTAGGGTTAAGCGGCTGTCATTCGTAACAATATCGCCGTTCTATAGGATATTTACTAGGGCATCCTGAGAAGGAGTCATATTCAACAGTATCAGCAAAGTTAGATTATCCATAAGACTTTTAACCTGCCTCAATGCAAATTTAAAAAAAAAAAAATTGAGACCTTGTTAGGTAAATGAGAATTTTAAAGAATAAACTTCTCTTTCAATTTTGGCTTGAAAATATCAACCTGTAATGTAATTTTTATCATAACCCTTTCCTCAGCTAAACTAGGGTTCGTCTTTAAGAAGAGAAAATTACTGAGTATATTCTCTGAAAGTTTCTTCATTAAGGCGTGCTTACTTTGAATTTCTACTTTTGCGTTAAAAAAGCCTTGATTCTTCTACTTTTAGAAACTTCAGTTTTCTACAGTTCTTCAAGGAGGAAAAATCGTTTGCTTGATTTTTGGGAACTTATATTAGTTCCACAAGTTCCAGTTATATATCGAGAGAGAACATTGTTTTAATATAGGTATTCTGACTCAAAATCGGACTTTTTCTAAAATGACATGCCTATTTTTTTTTCAATATTTCAATTTGAAAACTCAAATTATATCTAAATACTAAATTTGTAAAATTTTGTCAGAAACTTAACGAGAAAGTTTAAAAATTTATCTTGGCTCATCTTTTTTCATTTTGAGTCAAGAATAATTCAATTGGCGAAATTATGAATTCATGGTAACCTATTTTCCTTTTCATTTCATTGTGTACAAACGGCAAAAATGGTACAGCATTTGTTATCTCGAATAACAAAGTGCGCAAACCACATTTGGCGTTATTATCGCCTGTAAAAAATATGCCAAATTTCAAACGATCCAATATATAAATTCATGTATATCTTGAGAAATTTAGAATGCAAAACTCTTTTTTTTTTTTTTTTTTTTTTTTTTTTTTGCAGGTATGCTAGAAATATATCTATTTTCAGGTGATGGTGAAAATTTTGCAAGTTATATTTTTTTTTTTTTTGAAAAAATGGCTAAAAATTACTAAAAAGTACAAATTAAAAAAATAAATCAGAAAATATCTGCGAATTTTATTTGGATAGAACCTAAATTTTGAATTGTGAAAGAAGGAATCAATGAATCAGTAAGTTTATTAAAAAAAAGAAAGATTAATATATACATACCATTTTCAAATAATACTTAGAAGCTAAAACTTTGAAAGATAATATTTTTAAAATTCCTCGTGCAAGTTTTAGAAAACTTGACACTTTGACGTAACATGAATCATAGCATCGACATATATAAAAAAATCGGTATGTCTTTTCAGAAAAAAATCCGGTTTTGTGTCAAAATATCTATGTTTAAACAACGCTGTATAAAAATCTAATACATATCAAGTCGCGCTTTCGAGACATGAAAAGCACAATTTCGACCCTATTGTGCAGAGTGTACCATACGCACTGTTCCTAATTACATGATGTTGTCTCTGACAGTTATATTAAGGTTATTTTTACACTGAAGCAAGATAACTCCTTTTTATGCTGTTGATATGGTAATTAAATTTATTTTCATTATCTTTTCCAGATTCGGGTAGCCCAGGTGACTTCGGATACGGGGCCCAGCCAGGCTTTTACGATTTTTTCCCTGGTCAACCTCCACCAGATGGAATGGCCTATCACGGTGTCCTCGGTCCCGGCCAAAATGTTCCTCCTCCTCCAACTAGTATGGAGCAACCCCTCTCAGCAGTTGTCGGACCAGGTAAAAAGATTTCCTTTTAGAAATGGAACTAATTTCGATTTTTAAAAATACCTAAAACTATAAAAAATCTGATCTATAATCATAACTTCATTGCTGGTCACGTAACAGTGCGGCCGTAGAACGCTTAAGTTTAGACTAGCAGTAACAAAGTCGCCGAAAGGTAGAACACGTTGTCCTACGGAAGTGACTTAGACTTCAGCTTAAACACTCATTTCTACCTCATTTACAGAAATCGTAATCCTGAAAAGTCATTCTGGCAGGGAAAAGAGATTGTATAAAAAGGCTTGTTCCAAAATAAAAATAACTATTGGAAAATGAAAGTAAACCCTACAGATATATTAAAAATCCTTCTTTCACTTATGAAGACAACAACGCGTAAGGATTATTTTATGCTATGCATTCTGAGAGAATAATGCATCTGTTAATTCAATACTGTTTAAATGGCAGCTACTTTAAAATGAAGCAAAAATGTAGTTAATTAAATATAACATTTCTTTCTTCCTCTAGATTAGATTTTTAATTTAATGAGAATTCTCAAAAACCAGTTCAGTTTTATTTTCTTTACTCCACTTGAGAAATCATCGCCTTTAGTGCATCACATTTTAACTAATCTAGGAAATGGTGTAATGAGGTTCAGCTGTATTAAATGGAAAATGTCTAAGGCAAGTTTTAAGAAACGCAGTTTTAAAGAACCAAAAAACTAAGTTACTTAACAACAATTCTGTATGGAATCAATTTAATGCGACAGTTCTTGACAGAATGAAAATGACGCTTTCACTTTACACGGAACCGAAACCTCAGTTTCATATTACCGAAGAGACCAGACAAAACAAATGATGACGAGGGTACGGGAAATTCTAATAGCAGTTCTTTGAATGTTGCTTTCGTCGATACAAAGTCTCTAATTTGTCACCAAGTTTAATTAAACTCAAAATATCTACCATCTGCCTCTTTCCGATATCGAAAAATCGCTCAATATTGGGACAGGAAAAAGAAATATCCAAGAAATGAGCTAGAAATCTACCGGCAAGGGAAGAAAAGGCCCGAAAATATGAGGTTTTTTCCCCCTCTTGCCTGATCAATGTGCAAATGACACCCTCTTTTTTACACGTTTTGGTCGATCAGTAATTATCGAAAAATTCCCCTTTTCCTTGATTTTTCAATATGTATCATCAGTTATTTTTTTGTAAAAAAACTGGGGGTATTGTTTCAGTTTTTTTCCCTCAACACCAAGAAGTCGTACACTTAAAATTTTAGTCATGGTAATGGATTAATATCTTAAAAGTTTTTGCCTGAAAATATTTCTTCCCGAAGTTGGTAATTAAGCGACTGGCTGAAATTATTTCTTAAAGCAGCTAGTATGGATTTGTTTATTAATTTTAGGAAAATGTGTGGCAACGGCTGGTGCATATTCTGTGAAACGTTTCGGCTGCAGAACAGCTTTAGTTTCAAATGACCTCGAATATGAATATCTCGAATTGTTTTATTAGAAAATATATTTATATATATATTTTTTTATTTTTGTGAACTTTAAATATTTTAGTTTTTCTGTATAGAGAGTCGGAGTTAGCTAAAGTAAACATAGCATAAAAATAGCAAATATGTTATTATTGTAAAAATCATCATCATTTATTTGTGAAAGAAGAATAAACAGAAAAGAATGAATAGAATTATAACAAAATTTAATCTGTTTTTTAAATTAATCAAAATTCTGTCTTAAGTATTCACTAGTTTACATACATGTAGAGTTTTCAATGAAATAGCATGTGCCGCTCTGCTTCAACGAGTTAAATAATCTGCTCTTTTCATAGGAGACCTTCATTTCCTAGTACCTGCTTCTAAAGAAAAGCTTATACTAGGACGCCGTCGTGTATCCCACAGCGTTCGCCTTTCATTCATTTGAAAGAGATAAAAAACAATAAATAAATAATTAAAAGGATTTAAGCTAAACTTTAGCGCCATCTGTTGTGAAAAGTTGAAAAAAAAAAGGATTCGAAGTTAAATAAGGCTTATGTCTCAGAAAAAGAAGAAAAAAAAAAAAAAAAAAAAAAAAAAAAAAAGGCACTAGAATACTGCTCTTACTATTTACATTTGTTCGATTTCTCCTTATCTATATTTGATAGATTACTATCCACATTATCTACGCTTGACGATTTATTATCTGCATCTGATAGATTTGTCACAGATTAATATGGAACACTTCAATGAAATATGACTAATCTGCTGGATATTTGAGACGATTAGAAAAGACAATAAAGACGGAATATTTATTAATCTTTTATGAATTAGAATTTGATATTCATTATGCTCCTGCTGATGATGTAAAATTTTAACTCCATCTTAGTTTGGAAGGTACAAGTTAACGCACAGTTATAAAGAATATTAAAAGTTAAAAATAAAAATCTGAAATCAATTCTTTACGAACTGAACAGCTAGCTTTTTCAATAGAACTCCCTCCCTCCCCCCCCAAAAAAAAACACTTAAAATATTCACTTGTAGAGACTTGGACGACAAAATCTGCAGAGAATCTGGACAGTTTTATAACATGAAAAAAGGAAGCACCACGAAATGACTATATTATTGTAACTGTTTTTAATGATGAAAGATATTTTTCATTGGTAAGAGGAAAAACAAAACAATGCCAACCTAATGTTGAACTTTTTTTAATTTTAAAATTCAAATTAGTGTCCTTTTCTATCGATTATTATCGAATTTAAAACTGAAATCTAGATAAATGGTATAATATAAAGCTGCTTTGTTGAAATCCTAAAGAAAATTATCCTGGCATTCAAAAGGCATGCCTTCTCCACACAATATTTCTTTACTCGCTGGTAATATGCTTGAAGAATTACTGAAATTCTCTTAAAAGTACCCTAACCGAACTACGTGCTCTTGTGCATCTGTCTGCATAATTTGTTAAGGCTTTTTCTTCCTATTGAATCTTCAGGTGGCTCTTTAAAGAAAAACACTTTTTTCTCATTTATTATCAAGAGAACTTCAAAAGGTATCATATTAACATTCACCTTTCTTTCAAATCTACAATCTGATAGAAAGACGGAAATTCTTTAAAATGATCTCAATTTAAAACACGGTTTAATTTGTAGATTAGAAATTTGCAGATTATATTTCAAGTCTGAAATTAGTTTCTTCTCCTCTTTCCGACGAATTTATATTTGCTGCTAGATGGAAAGATCTATCTTTAAGAACTTATTAAAAAAGGATAATTAAAAGATGGAACAGGAAGGCTTTTTATAATAATTTTGAATGGGAGAAATATTCTCGCTCTCTTAAGAAGTGGCGAAAACAGTTCTTTACTCTTAAGTGTAAATTTTGAAGAAAACATCGCAAAGTATGTTTGTGAATTTATTTCCTTGAAGTCGTATTTTTTATTCATCGAGTTAATATTTCCTTTTATGTATCAGAAAAAGACTTTTTATTTCATTTTGTAATAAAAATGATAGAGGGAATGTAACATCTTTCTCAATAATTTCATTTATTTTTAAATCCTTAGGGGATACAAGCTATGCTACTAATTATCCCAGAATTGCATTAATTTAAATGAATGTCCTCCTTTCATGATCTCTGGAATCCTTATGGACTTCTTCTAGGATTTTTCGTTTGAAAGATGTGTTGCAATAATTATATGTGACATTAAAGTTTCTTTAGTCGATTTAAATAGAGAAATTTAACAAAAAAAGCATTCAACTAATAGCATAATTTGCAAAAATCTTTTTAAAGCATTTTATGAATGATGCATAAGAACATGGATGTTCATCATATGCTATACTATAGCTGTTCTTAGTCTAAGATATAGTAGTGCTCGAGTTTATAGAAGTTAAATATTGGAGGATTCAATCATACAGTGAGTTTACGTTACATCAGTGTATATGATGATTTTATGTTAATTAACCAACTATTAGGATTTGAAATCTTACTATAACTTCTTTTTTTCAAGTCCTCACCAAAATGCAAATTAGGTGCAGAGTATTTAAGCTGACGCTTTAGATGTTTTATAGTAAGAGCTTCTCTCAGCCTCGCTTGCAGTTTACATCCTATGGCCAACTTTGTTAAAGCTTATACCGGCTATGGACCGTTTTGCTAGACGACTAGTGTGTCGTTAAATACTTGAACCAGCTTAATTAGGCTATTCTGTGTGTGGTCTCAGACTGCGTTATTTAAATTCAAATTTTCCTTTATGTTATTTTAAGGATCAAAAGTTTCGGAGTTTTGTTTTGTTGCGCAAGTGGTGCCTTTTGCTAAATTCAAAGAGTTAATAAAAAACGCTATTTTTAACCATCGTAGGAATTTTGTCATCCTAATTCAAGTTAGAACGGTTCAGATTATCGACTTAATTCAGACTGGAGACTGATAACTCGATTCTCTATCTAGTAGGATCTGAAAGACATTTGTTGTTGTTGACTTGTTCATGTAATTCATGGATGAATGCTTGCCAGAGCCTCGAGAATAATGGACTTTTACATTCAACCCAATGTTGAGGAAAAGCACCAAAGGGTGTGTTCGACAATCTCCCATACCTCCCCTACTACTAAACCACAGGACAGGACTTTCGCCATATACTTAGAGTGCTTCCATGCCACAAAGACATTATACATTTATTTATAAACATCTAGGCCTTCTCCGGCACTTCGGTACCACAGTAGGCCTTTCATAACCATTGTACCAATGGGCGGCCTAAAATACATTGATTTAAGATTTTTCACAAGCAAAAACCTATAAAACAGCATGTTTATATAAAAACTTTAATATATGAAAATATATGAATTCTGTACTTTTTAAGTACACCCATCACGGAAGAGCTGAAGAAAAAAAAATGACAAAGGCACTTTTTTAAGTGTGTCCAGAATCAAATACACCAACAAATGGTTTAACACCACGTTTCAAAGTGCTGACAGTTTTGCTGCAAGAGACAAAAAAAGTTAGTAAAAAAATTTGGCATTTTATGGAAAGCCATCTAAAAATACCCGTATCTTTGAAATTTTATACCTTGAAGGAACTGAAAGAATTTGCTATGAGTGTTCAAGCAGGCCTAGATGTTTTCAGAAAATATTTTGATAGTGTAACCTTTTCTGAATCTACATCTCATTTTGTGCACGGTCCCTTACAAATTCTGAAAGATTATATCCCAGTCATCTTTTAGATATGGGTTGTCAGAAAGGAGGGACTGCTTGCAACCTTTTAGCTATTCCGTATTTAATTTATGAATATAAAAAAAATTACATTTATTCAAGTTTTGGTATTTATCAGCATTTTCTACACTTTTTATTGTTTAATTAGTAACAAAACGCGTTTAAAATTAATTAATAAAACATGTTAAAATAATCTAAATCTAAATAAATGCATACATATTTTTCAAGTTTTAGGAAAAAGGAGTCATTTTATAACAATCGTGAAAGGCATAGAGGGAGCAAAAACGTTTGAGAACCCCTATTCTAGATAACAGTTGAATAATGCAATCAGAAACTTTGTTCTATATACAAAAGGCTGAAGCAAAAGGATCTAATCCATGACATAAAAATTAAAATCACCTTAGCATGTTTTTTTGGCCTTTGAAAGTCCTTTGAAATATATAATACAATATTATGGAATATAATATAATAATATTTGAAATGAAAATTTCATTTACGTCGATAACCAGTTCATTTTCAACTTTCGTCAGATTGAGAGTAAATGACGTTCTCAGTACGCTTCGTTATGCTTTCAATGCCTTCAAATCCCTTCAGAGAATAATTCAAACTTCAAAACTCTAAATTCAAAAACACCCATCCCGCCAAGGTACCAAGTTTCTATGTTGAGGAGAAAAAAAAAGATGATTATTAATTCATGGGTTAGCATCTACATGATGCAGAGGGTTTTGTAAATCCAGAAAGACAAAAGCCATCCCAAAAAAACATGGAATCACTTCATTGAAGCCCACGAAATACATATAAGGACAGACATCACAAGAACCAAACCTTCTTTCTCGTTCCAAACTAAAAACCTAATTCTAATTAACATACATTCTAGAAGCTGACGTCATTGTATCCCAGTTTAAATTCACTTCAGTTCGCAATAATATTATTTTGTCTTTATGTGTGTTTTTAAATGTGTTATGTTTATCATTTGAGACGTCTGTTTAGAACATTTTCTTCCCAGTTTTTACGTGGTCAATTAATAGGAAAATGAGGAAGGGAATACGGTGCTTATTGGGGGCTTCAATCATCTTAATATCGAGTAATCAAAGGATTAGTTACCTGAAATCATTAAAAACTGTTTGTTTAGAAAAAGCTTGTTTAGACAGACACGTCAAAACGTTTTTACAGGAGCAGTTTAAATAAATAAGATATAATGTGAGATAAGGGATATTCTTCGAAATCTTCCGATCACTGTTTTTGTATTTGTATGATTTAGTTTTTGGATCCTTAAAACTGCTTGTAATCATTTTCTCGCATTAAAAAATCCTAACTTGACTACCATCATTTTATCTCAGATTTTGTTTCTCTTTTACTCTGCTTCAATCTTTTGAGTTGGACAAAAAAGTCTCGGTTTTCAATATATTCTTAATTATGTTATCTAAATAGAAAATAATTTAAAATTAGGCAATAAAATAATCTTAGTTTAAGTTAGATTTTGAACAAAACTATATCGATTTCGAGGGCAATCATACAGATTTCCTTTTCTTCAGGAGCAAAAATGTGAAAAGCAACAGTTTTTTTATATTGAAAGCAATAAACAGGAAAACTATTTTGCTGTTGAAGAAAGAGACCTGTGTCCGATCACCTAAAAGAAACCAATAGAATTTTATTCATAATTTATGCTAAACAGAGGTTTCTTTATAATCTAAGTGTTTATTCTCCAATCTGTAAAAGAATTATTTGTCACTTCATTTTAATCGAAAAAATAATTTAATGTCGAAATAAAAAATCTAATGCTTGAAAAAACAATTTACAAGAAATATTTTTTATCATAAAAGTATATTATCGAAACTTATATTTTTCTCACGCGAATGAAACTCAATTGTATTTACGTAGAAAATGAATGTCGAAAGTGATTTGAGCTGTCTGTGCAACGATTCAGTGATTTGACGTATGTGATGAAACCTGTTTCTTATGAACAGAAATTTGTAAAGAATTATATATAATTTACATTACTGTAGTTTTTTTTTATTTTTCTTTGCAGGTCCTGTAAATTTAGGTGCAGATGCTCCATATTTGACACCACACGGGGATCTCATGTCACAGAGGTCCAGCCCAGACAGCGTTCTCAGCTTAGCGTCGGACGCATACGGTCCGCCCCGATCCTCTTCTGCCGGATTTCCGGGCAATCTCGGTGGTCATCCGGCTATCTCCGAGACTCAAGTTTGGTGACGGCACGCCTACCTGGCACCGCCTGTGTCAATATCGTCTGAATGAAGCTGAATGTTTTAGGACATTGCCCATCTGTCTTAACTATAATCATAATGTTGTACAGACGAAAGCAGAACTGTCTCTGGACCTCAGGAAAAAGCCGAGAAGAAATAAATTCATTCAGTTTGTAATTATTTGTTTAACTGAATATGGAGCAATCAGAAGATTCAAAAAGTCGAAGACTTTGTAGCATCGAGTACATGTTATGCCAGAGATTATTTAAATATAAGCAGCAATTTAAAAAAAAAATTGCTTTATTTAATGTATGTCTGTTTTGCGATAAACGTAATCAACAAATTTTTAAATCTTGAAGAAGAGTTTTATAAGTTTGCCATTTTTAGTTGCAAAATAATGATTTAAAATTATTGAAAATAAATTCGTTATGAAGATTCGTGAAAACTTGCCTTTCTATATTTATTAATAGAAAGAACTTTTTAATTGAAATCAGAACTTAATTTTCAAAATTGGATAAATGAATATTAAACAAGATTTAGAAATGTATATAAATTTAAGTAAAATGGTAATGACTTAAAGTGATTTTTACGAATGCAAAAGAATGCTTACAATATGGTTAAAGAAAGTAAATACGAAATTGTTTTTGTGAAAGAAAACAAGCTTTCAGTATGGAATGAGACTAAATCGCACCCTAAAATATTATTAACTTATCAAATAACCCACAAAAATTAGTCAGTGTACTTTATATTATTATAGCAAATTATTGTATTTTATTATGACATAGAAATGTCTATTGTGGTATAGAAAATATTTTACTACGGTATGGAAATACATACTAGAGGAAAAAAATTACTATAGAAATATTCTATAGCATAGTAAAATATTGTATTTAATTAGATAGATTAACTTTCATTTTAATTAGAAATAAGATTAATCCTAAACAGAAAAACATGCTGTCATCAACTATTCATTTAAATTTCTTTATCTTTAAATTTTACTAAAATAAAAGGGGAGTTTTATACTCGAGTGGGTTTTATTTTGGATACTCTTCAAATTTAAATGCTGAGGTAGATTTTTAAAGGCAAGTAATTGAATTTCAATGATGGCATCGCAAAAAAAATGTATTTTTTCCAGTTCCTCAAATGTGTACATTTATTCCAAACTTTCGTCTTCGAAGTATTAATTCAAAGAATATAAATTTAAAATATTTCTGGTATTTCAAAATTAATGCTGGCATTTAATTTTGAAATTAATTCTCATTAATTAATAAGAGTTAATTTAAAGCATTTTCAAATGAGAATTGAATAAAATTAATTCTCATTAGTGCTAATAATTTTTATTTTAAAAAATACTCCACAGGCTGAAAGATTTTTCTTAAATTGTCCAGTGAAGATGTATGCTATAGCTTTTATGAATATGAAAATAAAACTGATATGTTTACAAAACTTAATTCGAAAATTTATTGAAGTAACAGAATTAGCTGGAACAACAAAACTTCGTACTGGCTTTTGAAGTTTCCAGTTCCATACAGTAAAATAGCTGCCTAGCTCATCTAGTTAATTTGAATCTGTCAGAATGGATGAAAAATATACGAACTCGTATATCTCCTTCTCAATCTGTTATAGGAGCAAAATTCTAGACTTCCGATAATGCATCTGACAAAAATTCCTACCCCTCTAAACCAGCCTTGGAAAAGGGATTTCACAATTCATTATTATTATTTTAGTAAACATTTTTTCCCCTTCTCCACCTTTCCCCCTGATTTGGCCGTTAACTTTCCCTGGCGAAAAATTACGTACGGGACAGACGAGCTATGCTTTAGTTCATCTTTAAAATAAAAGAAGATAAAAACAAAAGAAACAAAACGAAGAGTGGGAGGAAAAACAAAGAACGTTTTGGGGGGAGCTATACGTGAGGGAAGGGGGGATGCTTGTTCGAAATTATTCTCTCTGCATGGTTCATCAAGGATGGGAAACATCACAGATGTTTCACCGTTAAACCGTACTAACATCCTAGGGCTATGCTTTGGTATATACATCCACGCTCCCTACACATACATGCATACCTTCAAATATATATATATATATATATATATTAATACCGTATGGGTAGTTGTACAGCTTTGTTATAGCTAGCAGGGAGAAAAATCGACCATCTGTTTGGGTTTCTAACTAGGCATTGCTACAGCACTTTTTTTCTTTGCAATTTTTGCCTGTTGTGTTTTATGCTTTGTTTTTGCAGTTTGGGGGTTGCCTGAGGTAGAGTAAAGCGTCGTGCATCTGGGTTTAATATAAAGTTTACCCATCGTCCTGTATTGTTTCTATTGATGGAGTTTTAGAAAACAGTAAATAGCACTGCGCGAAGAAGCATTTTCTCCACTAGTTCATTTTCGCCCAGTTGTTCCATTTTATTTTTTTATTCCCTTTTTATGTACCAAGATTTTCACATTTCGAAATTTTGTTAATAGCTCTGGAGCGAGATGGTATGGATGGAAGGTGAAGGTGGGTTGGTGTTTTGGAATTGTCTCTCGCGTATTTCCGAGGTTTTCTTTCTTTGTTTTTTGTTTTTATGTCTTAGATTTTGCGAAGTTTTTCAGAGTTATTTCCCTTCCCCATGGAAAATTTTTTACAGCTTTATGTTGCTAAGTAATCACGAAACACTTTGTTTCCACAGCACTTAAATTACAGGAACATAAAATCATTTAGGCACTTAAGATTTAATAGCAGCCAATTTTTCTAAATGAGACAAAAGTGATGTGTGCTCATCTACCATATTGTCGAAAGTCGTTGGATAAAATGAAGTCTTATTTTAGGTATGATACTAAAAAGCACCTTCTTAAGTAGACTATTTTCTGCACCTTCATTTAACCCCCCAAAAATATTTATTCGCTTTCAACTTTCGGCAAGTATATAGCAAAATTAGTTTTCCTTCAAACGAAATGAAAACCTCAGAGCAAAATTTCGATGTTTTGTACTCAGGTATGAAAAATCACCTGATTTGCTTATATTTTTGCTACTCTTTATTTTGTAATAATCTTTTACTCAGTTGAAATTTTCGTTTAATGAAACATTATTGATTATTTGAATAGGATGCATCTGGAGAATTCTAACTTACTTATTTTTAATGTAAAATAGAGCTTAAATTTAAATACTTTATCTTGTTTATATCGCTTGCAATTTCTTTCTATATTAGACAATAGTTTTATTTTTTATAAGCTCCAAACTAAGTATATTTAGACATATTTAAAGTGCACTTTTCTTCTAAAAATGTAATTCTTCTGAAGCAAAATAAAATTTTAAATGATGGTAACGAAGGCAGGATTTCCTTTCAGCAGAGAACAGCTAAATGAATTTAGCTACATATTCTATCAATTTTTAGCTTAAAGTATGTAAATATTATGAAATAAATTCCTTTAAAACAACATAAGTCACTTATTACATAAAGACAGCATTTGTGACTAAAATAAGAATACTTTGGCACTCTTAAATTCTGTAGTTATGTCAAGTATAATTCAGCCTAAATAGTGATTTAGAAGCCCCAAACAAAATAAAAGGGTATTATGTAAGCTATGCAGTGAAATTTTCTTACGTTTAACACATCTGTTATATATTGTCGATGTTTAAGTCATCCTCTCTGCATGCAGTTTTGCACACTAAAAGGACTTCTGTAACTTCTAAGTAGGGGTTTCATGTAAATAACCATAAGAATGTTACATTAAATATAACTGTATAAAGAAGGAATAAAAATGTTAAATGAATTTCCGACTCAAAATAACAATCTTAAACAATTAGAAATATCAGATTCATCTAAAAATAAATATATCTAACTGCCTCTTAATGTAAAAATTAATTATGAATTATTAAATATTATAATGTAAATATAAATTAATGTCATTTTCTATAAATCTATTTTGATCAATTGATTTTTCTTGCATGAAATGAGAGATATTTTTTAAATTGAAAATTCTATGTGATACAAGTTTTTACAGGAAACAGACGTTTTAGAATATCACAAAAAGTTATTAAAATTACAAAAAATTATATACAGTTAATTCGACCTCTTAAGTCATTTCATACTTTTTTGGGGGCTTAAATTAAATAATAATTTTAATTCTTTTACCAAAAATTTGTATTCACTCTAATAATAACATTATTAAAAAGCAGTTTCGAATTCAATTCGCATTCTCTTATCATACGAATAAATATTATGTAACTTTCGAAGTAAAATTAAAATACCAATTTGTGAAAATATTTCGCATATGTTTATTTCCTCTTTTGCTATCATTCCTTTTATTTACTTTGCCAAAATTTTATTATATTTCAACTTAATTATTTATGAAAATTATTACTTCTTTTCAGTACATTAATATGCTCGTGGTTAAAATTTATTTTTTATGAAATTTTAAAAGAAAAAAGAAATTTGCTATTATAAGAGAACTCTTCTAAGTAAATTATATCAATTATAACAAATACCAAGAAGAAATTTAACTTATATAAGTGCATTTGACAAGCTCGTAAATTAGAAATACTTGAATATGAATCTTCATGCAGAAATTCAGAACTTTTTATTAATAGAATTTTATAATTCAGAACTTTTTTTTATTGTAGAATTACCACAGTATACGTCTACTGTTAAGAGCTTAAAGAAACATTTTGCTGCTGTTATATTTGATAATCTCTGGCATTGAATTTCTTCCTCGGCAAACTGGTCCAGTTACAAATACAGAGAATATATCTCATCACAATTATATTTTATTTATTTGTAACTGTGAGACGAAACTGTTACTCATTGTTTGCTAAAAAATATATAAAAGATGTATGTAAAGACATTCTGCTGAGCACTACGGAAACCAAAACGGTGTGAAAAATGTAATTTCCTATTTCTTGAATTGATTCAGCACCAAGACTTCAGTGCAATCTTCTATCATCTTCACAATGGAGGCACAATGTGAAGAATTTATGAGGCAATTTTTGTCTCGTTGTACATGTAAATAAAACGAAAGCTATCTTTTCGTTGCCATTAATGTTTCATTGTCGTCCATAGGAGTTCCAGGAGGTGAATGTTCCATATTTATAAAAAATAAAGAAAAATATATGATTGGTTCAAAGACGACTGTTTGTATATTAATTATTTCAAAAGAAAAAAAAGGATAATGATAATAACAAGCTGTTTCGTTATCGTTCTTTTTATGATTTTTTTTTTTTTTTTTTTTTTAAAGTTTTCGAACCTTCTTGCAGTGTAATGGTTGTTTGCGAGCAAGTTATGTAAATTTTATTGGTGCAAATATATTAAAATGATAATACATTCTCAGTGTTCGTTGCCTTTATTTCATATTGTTGCATTTTACGGATTCGTGAATTTGGAGTGACTGATGTCAACACTTAATGAAGAATCAAAACACAATTTATTCATTTATTCGTCACTATTTCACAGTACAGTTCCAAAGACGCCTTACAGTCGTCAAAAATCTCTGAAAAACACGCTGAAACAATCAGCAACACAGTCTTCAGGCTATCAGGCTGTAACGGTTAAGACAGCTTCACGGCAAAGCAGTAAAGTACAACTCCCGACACGGTTCGGTCGCTCTTAAGCTAATCTCTGAACTCACAACACTAATATTGAACTTAGCATACTCCAAGATACTCTTTACTCTGCATACAGGCAGGGTATATATAGCTTTTGATCTGCCTTCGAGAACATTCTCGGGAAAACAGATAAGAATTCGTTCTAGAATGTTCTCGTTCCGTCTATTCCATATCGCCAAATGAGCAAATTCGCGCCAAATCTGGCAACCCTGCCTTTCCTTGCCACTTTCTAGCAAATCGAAACACGCTTTGCGGGGAAACTATCTTACCACAGCTGGACATTTCGAAACAATATTCACTTTAAGTAACAAGAATAAAACGCGAATTACTACAATTCGAAAGCTACTTACATTTTTAAGCCTTCCAAGTTCTGCTAACGCAGTAGTTCAGGAAAAACAACGGGACTTAACATATGGATTGTAATTTTGTGGTACTAGAAATGAAAAAATACAGATATTTTTTATAACTGAATTAAATCCATCAATGAACATATGTCTGATTAGCATTTTTGTTAAATATAATACAGAAGTGCTTTGTATAATGAAACTCAGACAAGTTAAAACATTTTTACGAAATACTTAAATGGTTCGAATGAACTTTTGGCTAACCATGCCTTAGATTAAAAGAACATATCTTCATCTATTAAGACTGTACTCTCTATACTTAAGTACTATACTGGTTATCATAAATTAAGGAAAAATCACAAAACTCACGATTATGAAAAAGTTACATGTAGAATTTTATGAAACTTACCCACAATATACAACACATAGTAAGGTATCAAATAATATAAAAAGAATTTACCAGACAATTATGGCAGTATAGAAATTAGCACATGTATATAATGAACAAATCGAAGATATCAGTTTGCTATTGTAAAAGTACCTTCAATATGGAATATAATCGCCTCTAGAAGCAATACAGCACATTCAGCGATGTGTGATGCTTTCAATTACGCGGTCTATCAGTTCCATAGGAAGCGAGAGCCATTGCTCTTGCAAAGCAGTTGCAAGCACGGCAAGAGTCTAAAGTGGCGGATTGAGAGCAGCTAAACGTTTCCCTAAAGCATCCCAAACGTGCTCGATAGGATTCAAGTCCGGGGATCGAGTTGGCCACTTCATGTGCATAATTCTTTCCTGTTGAAGATAATCATATACGATGCGAGCCCTGTGTGGTCTTGCATTATCGTCCTGTAACAGGAAAGCATCACCTATTGCCCCGGCGCATGGGCGCACATAAGTATCAAGGATATCATCTCTATAAACATGAGCATTCATGGTTTCCCTTGGAAAAACATGTAGGTCTCTGCGTCTACCCAAAGAGATGCCACCCCAAACACAGACACTGCCTCTTCCGTATGCATCTCTTTCACGGATGTTTGACGGATGGTAACGGGTTCCAGGTTTGCTCTCCATATCAAATAATGCCTACTATCGCGTTCTAGACTAAACCTGGACTCATCCGTAAAGAGAATAGCCCTCCATTGCTCAGGCGTCCAGTGGATATGTTGTCGTGCCCACTGCAAACCGGTCCCTGCTATGGCGTGACTTGAGCAGCACGCAAATGGTTGTTCGCCTCGCATACAGACCACCTTCGTGAAGCCTTCTATGCACAGTTTGACACCAACCTTCCGGTGGCTGCAGCAAGGAAGGATCTAAGAAGAGTCGGAGTAGCGGTTCTATTCCTGAGTGCACATAATGTCAAATATCGGTCATCGACGCTCGTCGTAGCAGTTGGCCGTCCTTGGCTAAACCTCCTAGGTGCCGAATCGGTGATTTGAAATTGCCTCCAAAGTCTATGAACCACAGAAGGACTCACATTTAGCCATCTGGCCACTTCTGTTTGACGTTGTCCTGCCTCTAGTCTCCAAATGGCTTTCTGTCGTAGTTCTGCAGGCAAATGATGCCTGGAGATCATTGTTACGAATTGGCTAACTCAGATTTCTGATGTCACTATCACAGTGAAATATGTGGGCTTGCTCTCAAACATGAACTTTTATGCTCCTCGCAGATGACGTATTCCGAGTGCAGCGCCACTAGTTTGCATATTGGAGTTTTACTCAGCTACGCTTACTTGGCAACATATTCAAATTTTACACGGTTTGGCTTATTTTTGAGGGAGTCATCGCTATTTTTGTGATTTTTTCTTAATTTATGATAACCAGTGTATTAATGGCAGTTACCGTAGGATTAAGCATATCATTAATTTTTAAAGAATTCTAGTGTTTGCTTTACTTTTAAAATTACTCAAATTTAACTATTGAGGCAATATTTTTATTTCTATGTAAGGCAATGTAAGTAAAAAGTGATGTGTACACCTATGACTTCCTTGTATGGAATATTAAATTATACGCATTTTTTTCTGCGTTTCATTTAAACTTATTTTGTCGAATTTCATTTGAGATATATTTCTCATTCAGTTAATTCAGTTTTGACTTCGCGGCAAGGCCTACTATCGCGTTCTAGACTAAACCTGGTCTCATCCGTAAAGAGAATAGCCCTCCTTTGCTCAGGCCTCTACACAAAACCTCAAATTAGCTTTATTAAAAATTGAAAAATATAGAAATTACAAAACACCAAACAGAGTTAAAACAATTTAAAACACTTTTACAACTAAAATTAGAATTTCGACGCAAAAATAAGCAATTCGGCTAGCAGGCAAGAAGGCAAATTTTTCGGTGAACAAAACTGTAAGTCTACTTTTGGTGCCACTCAGCAAAAAGACACTGAAGGTGCAGAAGCGGACTTAATTCACTATTCTGCTAACTTTCAAGGTAAGTAAATATGGTTAGAAGTTCTTAAACAACTTTTAAATTGTTGATAATTCTACAACTATTGCATGCAGATTAACTAAAGGCATAAAAAAAACTTAACTGAAAGATAAAAATAACTGAGTAACTGAATGATAACATAAGAACTCAATCCTTTTTAAGACAAAAAATGCACAATTTATCAACATATAGGAATAAAAAAAAAACTAAGCTCAAAGAGCCGAGTAACAGGGATATATATATATCACTCATTGGCCCTTAAAATTTCGATTACTTAATTATCATATTTAGTATAATTATTTATATTTGTTATTCAAAGCAGTAAAAAGAGACTTTTGTTTTTCCAAATATTTAACTAAAATTTTATTTTCCAGTAAGAAAGGCAAATGCCAACAAAATGAATAAAAGCGCAGCATACGGCCCACGGGCCGCGGGTTAGACCACGCTGGTATAGATAATACAATGTGTACTAAGCTCAAATATGATGTGGAACTGACCGGATGCTGAATGAAAATAAGCGATAATTGTTCAGATTATTCTTTAAATGAAGTGTGAAATTGTCGTCTTAACTGTATATTCTTTAATTAAAGGATAACTTTACTCCAATCGCCGAATTCTTCCGCATTCAAAACACTTTCAAAGGTAGCAAATGCATGGGAGTAAGCAAATATAACCTCAGCATTATCACCGCACAAATTCCCAACGACAATCTAACCAAGGCTATAGGGCCGTTGTAGTAACACCTCCCCTCTTGCAACCTTCTCCTCTCCCTTTTCCGTGCCATCGACGTACCTATTTCCGGAAAATCCGGAAGGCCTCTGCCTCTCTCGATCCTTCACCAGATAAGCGGGCTGACTAGTCTTCCTCCGTCGGGATCTGTCCCCTTTTAATGCCCCCCTCAAACGGTCTTATGCACCCTACCCTATCTTTCCAAGCCTTGAATATGAGTCGGTGTCATTTGTTTTGGAATCTCGTCGCCCTGCTTGATTTAGCTATTACTGCACAAAGCTAGAAACGGAAGCCATACTTTTTATGCCTACGTTCCTGATGTTCTTGCAGTGCTCAAAGCGGGAACAGCGACAGCAATTAGGTATACTCACGGAGGTTTCCCAGGAAGATGGAAATGATACAACGTGGGTGTTGCAATTATGCTTAATCTGAAAATTTCCAAATTATGAATCTACATTTTTACAGTTTAAAACTCTAGAAGTATCCAGAGCTATTTTTTAATAGAATATGAAATTTTCATGCCAATTCCACTCATAGATATACTGAGAATCAGCCGTACAAGTAAAATTTGACTACTAAAGATATTTTAGCAATTTTTTGTATTTGAAAAAAAAAAAAAAAAAAAAAAAAAAAAAAAAAACATATATATCTTTTTTTTTTTTTTTTTAGCTTCGAACATACTACTTATTTTACTTACATCATATTGGTGTAGATTTGCATATGAAATCTGTCAACCATTTTAAGCTCATCAGGAACGTCACATACAGAGTGAATCCGAAGTGGGCAGAACTTTAGGTGATGATAGAAGGCAATATTCGTCGGCAATATGCGGCTGTACGAGCAATATTCGTCATAGAACGTATCGTCGGAACGCAAGCGGTGAGAAGTTAAAGAGTAGGTTTCCATTATTGCATTTAAAGAATTAATACAAGAAATGAGAGGCGATACTTCAGAAAACATTTTATTAACAGAACATGCTTATAGAAAGAAAGAAAACATTTTGTTAATAGAATATGCTCAAAAGACCTTACGCTAGATGCAATGCAGGCTTTACACCTGCGGCATAGGGATTTGCGAAGACATGAGGCATTTCTCGAATATCGCCGGCAACAACGGCGATCCTGGCTACCAGATCCATATTGGTTTCAGTAGAGTTCATGTAGATTATGCTTTTCATATGGCCCCACAGAATAAAGTCCAAACACGATCTCGGTGGCCAAGCTATG